GGTCAAACCCCACCCCCACATTTTTTTTTTTTTTTTAAAAACCCCCCCCCAAAAAAAAAAAAAACACACCCCCCCCCCCCCCCCCTCCCCCCAAAAAAAAAAAAAAAAAAAAAAAAAAAAAAACACTGCAAAAGTGTGAAAGTTTTTTAATCCTATATGTATGTATGTATGTACATACATACATACATACATACATACACCTCTTGAATCCTTACTATAGATATGAGTCAAATTAAATCCCCGGCAACTCAATAATATACAAACAAAAAGGCAAGATGGCCGAGCGGTCTAAGGCGCCACGTTAAGGTTATCAAAAAACTCTTAATCAACATCCTTCTAAACATTGGATTCCGTGGTCCGAAAGGGCGTGGGTTCGAATCCCACTCTTGTCATAATATTCTATCATTTTTGATTTTTTTTTCTTTTGGGGTGGATCGGATTTCGATTTTTTCTAAATCACTTTGATAATTTTTTTTGTGGTGGTAGGGATGGGGGAGTGGGAGGAGGTAGAGGTGGATGTGGAGTGGAGAAAAGGGAGGGTCCAAAAAAAAAAATATTATAACTGATGATTACTTGATTATCTATCTATCTAGTGCCTAAGTTGCGGCTTTGTAACCAAAGGCTTCAAAAGAAAACCTGGGGAAAAGTTTGTAATAAGGTTTTAAATGTGCTAAAAAATCCTCAGCTAAGACATAGTTTGATGAAGCTTACTTGAGCTCTCTGAGGCCATTTTAAACCGACAACACCCTCCACCAAAAAAAAAAAAAAAAAAACCTTGAATTTTCATCCAATCAATCTTCCCTTTCAAATCCAAAAATGGCAAGATAAAAGAAGTGGGACTGCACTAATTATAAGCAGCTAAAAACTGAACCCCTGTCAACCAAAGGACCCATGTCCGCCCGTTTTTGCATTGGTGCGTTTTGGGCGAAAATAAAACGTCATTTTGGAGATCTGTCTTTAAAAGAATTCAGAGAGGGAGAAAGAGAGAGGGAATAAAAAAAATAAAAATAAAATAAAGAAAACCTTCTAATTTCCATTTCTAGTCCAAAAGATAATCAATAATTTTGCGCTGTAGTCTCGCGCTTTCCATTCCTTTTTCAATTTCCCAAAAAACCATGATTGCACCACTCAGCAGCAAGCAACCACGACGACGATGACGACTGAAACTTCTCTTACCCGAACCGAAACCCTCTCGCTCTCCTCTTTAACCTTTCTGTCCCTGTCGATCCTCTCAAACACCGTGTCCAAAAGCGATGCCGAACCGTTGATCGCTTCCCTGGCCCTCAGCGGCCTCGCCTTTGCTGCCTCGTACTCGATGATAAGATGGCTCGGCCCGACCTTTATGAAAGCCGGCCTGAAGGGGACGGATCTGAGCAAGGTGCACCGCAAAACGATTCCAGAATGCATGGGAGGGATCTGCGCGGTGGTTTACTTGCTCGTGATAATACTCTTTATCCCATTTCCTTTTTACAAGGATATTGTCGCGGCGACCAGCGGCGGAGGGAATAAGGATGTTGTGCTTAGGGAGGCGGAGGAACAGGTACAGGTGGGGAGACTGTTGCATCGGTTTCCTCATAGTAAGGTATGATAACTTTTCCTACCTTGGGAATTCAATCTGGGAGACAAAGAAAAAAAAAAGAAAAAAAAAACAGAGAGCGCAAGAAGGATGGTTTGGGGGAGGTTGGCTAACAAGAGAGAATGAATAGTTGGCATCATACCTGTCAGCAATCATCTCGCTGCAGTCCATCACGCTCCTCGGAATCGGCGACGACCTGTTCGATATCAGATGGCGACATAAATTCTTTATCCCCGCATTCGCTTCGATTCCGATTCTGGTGGTCTATTTTGTTGATTTCGGGGTTACTTCGATTGTGGTACCGATTCCGCTCCAACCGTACCTGGGGGAGTTGGTCAACGTCGGAGCGCTTTACTACGTCTACATGGCGAGCGTGGCGATTTTCAGCCCGAACAGCATCAACATCCTTGCGGGGATAAACGGGATCGAGGTGTCGCAGAGCATCGTCATTGCTCTGCTCCTGGCGATCAACGATTGCTTGTACCTGTTGACGCCCTCATACCCGCACCCGGCTACGGATTCGCACTTGTTTTCGTTGTACTTCTTGCTGCCGTTTTTGGGGGTATCATTTGCGCTGCTGTGGCACAACTGGTTCCCGGCCAGGGTTTTCGTAGGGGATACGTATTGTTATTTTGCGGGAATGGTGTTCGTGGTGGTCAGCATTCTGGGACACTTCAGCAAGACCTTGATCCTGCTGCTCATCCCGCAGATTTTCAATTTTGCGTACTCGACGCCCCAGTTGTTTGGCTTGGTACCGTGCCCTAGGCATCGGTTGCCGAGGTTCAATGCTAGGACTGGGCTGTTGGAGCCCAGCGTCACTCCTTGGAGCGCCGAGAGACAGCCCAGGAAGGCTATCGCGTGGGGATTGAGGCTACTGGGCAGGTTGAGGCTGCTGAGGGTTACGCTTGATGAGGAAGGGAGGTTCGTTGAGACGAGCAATTTCACGATTCTAAACCTCTGGCTGGTCTGGAGGGGACCGTTAAGGGAGGACAGGCTTGCGTTGGAGATCACGGGGATGCAAATCGTTTTGGGTTTGTTTGGGCTTTTTGTCAGGCATGGATTGGCCAAGCTGGTGTTCAAGGAGGATAATTGGAGCGTTGCCTGGAGGTGATAATTTTGTTTGTAGACATTGGTGCTGTCAAACCAAGAAAAGAAAATCACATGTTATTAAATAAAATCGGTCAACCAAGCAAGACATGAACCCCTCCATGCGTTATGCCAAGAAGGGGGAACTGTCCTGTCACCCCGTTAGCGCTTCGGCCATTCAGCAGAGAGGGGCCCCGAACTGTGGTTCAAACATTCCTCTCCACACCAACAAACCCCCCGCTGATGTCAGTCTCAGCGCGACCCCATCTTGCTTTGCTTTATTACACTACACAAACATACCGCGATCCCGCCGCCGGCCGCCGAACGCCTTTTATTTTTCCTCGCAAACAATGTCGACAAGACTAGGCCAATTCCTCGACGACCCACCAAACAACGACGAGCGACTGACTTTTGAGCCCATCGTCAACCATGGCCACCAGGACCTCGTCCAGGCAATCGCATTCAACGCATACGGCGACCGATGCGCGACGGGTTCGGTAGACGGCAAGATTCGAGTGTTCAACAGACACAAGGACGGCGTATGGCGGCACTGCGACAACTGGACCGCCCACTCGAGCGAGATTACCGAGCTGCAATGGCTGCCCCCCACCATATACCCCAACCTTCTTGCTTCCTTGGGAATGGAGGGCCGATTCAAACTATGGGCTGAAGACCCTCAAGCCGCGCCGGGGCGTCGATTCTCCAGCGCGCAACCTCGAAACCCTTTCTGGATAAACAACACCAATAACAACAACAGCACCAGCCACACCCCCTCCTCTTCAACTCCCACCGCCGGGGGTACCGCCGGCGGCGGCGGTATCACCCCTTCCAGACCAGGCACAAGCACCCCGGGAGGATCTATAGAACGATCAACAATTCCGTTGGGCGGTCTTCCCGGTCCTACCCCTCCCCCCGGTCCTCACCAATCAAACCTTCAAACACTCTCAGAAAAACAAGCCCATTCTGCCTCATCTCAACTCCACCCTCCGGCCCCTCCCGCATCCGAAGCCGGGTCGGTCCCCTCCACTGCCACCGCCGGCGCCGGCGGCCCCGGCGGTCCCTCATCAACACCCAAGGCAGCTTTCGAAACCCGCAACGCCCGGTCGCCATACCGTTCATTCTCGATGAAGCACATAGACGAGACGCGACACACGTATCTGGCTTTGCTGTCATCCGACGGCCGCCTGACCGTGTACGAGAACGAGCAGCCCGAGAACCTGACAGACTACAACCAAATCGACGACCTGGTCGTGTCCCGCATCACGCCTCCGTGCTCGAGGGGGGAGGAATCGAGCTTCAAGGTCATGTTCGATCCCAACTTGGAGGTGTGCTACACGGCCCTGCGCGCCGGGGTGCCGCAGGACGCCTTGGGTCTCGTGACGGTGGCGATGGACTGCGTCAGGGTTTGGAGGTCGAGGGACGTGATAACTCAGAATTTGGGCGTCGTGAGCGTCGCCAAAGGTTTCTATCTTGCCGCCGAGGTTCCGTTCGGGGTGCACAGAGGACTGGTGAGAGATGTGGCGTGGGCGGGAGGCAACGTGAGGGGCTACGATGTTATTGCTACCGCCGGCGGGGATGGGTGGGTCAGGGTCTTCAGGCTCGATACGCCTTTGGAGGAGGCCAGGGAGGCATACAAGAGAAGGAGCAGGCGGGAGGAGGACGAGGACGGGGGCGAGGAGGACGAGGAGGATGAAGGGGGCATGACGATGAAGGGGAGGAAATCCAGAGACAAGGACAAAGAGAAGGGTGGTGGTGAGGAGAGGAAGGGCTGGACTAGCGGGGAAGTTAGGAGGCATGCGGTTGGGTTTGGTGGGAGCAAAAAAGGGTCCGAAAAAGGTGGTGGCGGTGATAAAGGAGGAAGGGAGGATGGTAAAAGCGGCGGTATGACTTCGGGCATCAGGGTCGGGCTGCAGGGCGATCATTACGCCAGAGATAGGAGACAGGGCGGCGGGCAGGTGAGGCACAGGATCGAGGAGATTTCGAGGATGAATAATCACAAAACCCCCGTCTGGAGGGTCGGGTTCGATGATGATGGGCAGGTGCTGGGCAGCGTGGGTGACGAAGGGAGGTTGATGCATTATCGGCAGATGCCGGATGGCGGATGGGCCAAGAGTTCCGAGCTGGCCATGATTAAGTTGAAGATGGCAGCTCCGTAAAGTATTATATTTATATGAGTGCGAACGATGAATTTTAGAAGGAAGTTGGGAGTTGGGAGGAACCAGGGGGATATACCCAATCTAGAAGAATCACTAACGTTTAGCGAGCGTTTGTTTTGATTGAAGCGGGGATAATATTTGCCAGAAAGTTGTTGTATATATATGTGGCATTCAGAAAAGAAAAAGAAAAGAAGAAAGAAGTGATGGGCCTCCCAATTATATTTAATTCTTTTTTCGCATGGCATAGGTAAATCATGTAGAAACCCTAGGGAATCGGGGTGGATCGAGAATTTAAAAAAAAAAAAAAAAAAAAAAAAAAAAAGATGCTTTTGTGCCCCATTATTTAGATCCCTTCGTGTATTATCTACTGTTTGCCATTCCATTTCCGACTCCATTCTCCGTTTCCTTTGCTTCTGGCATCCCCCTTTAGAGGCGTCCACAAACAACCTCCTTCTTAAAGATCCTAACGTCATAAACGTCATAAAAATGAATATCCCCGGCCGTCTCGATTCTCGCCACTCTCATCTCGTCGTCACCGTCATCATCATCGCTACTGTCGTTGTTGTCCGCGCCG